ATGGATCGACGATGGAGAAGACGATCGATCTGGATCCCTTCAAGGACCCGATGTTGATCAACGCTTATCATCCTACCAGCGCCCCAGCACGTTCTCTCCCACAAGCAAGCCTGGTGTATTTCTGGGTTATCATTTCGAGAATGGGGGCAGGTGGGACGGTGACTACATTGTCGCTGACCTTGAAGACTTCAAGCGCGACGCATTGCGTGCTAGCGTCCATCAGGTCAAGAAGATATATTGCTCACCCAAGGAGCGATGGACGTTTCCGATGCTGGCTGTGTACGACAAACAGACACGATCAGTATGCACGATCCCGCGATGCATTCTAACGCGCCACAGCCGAGTGAGCGTCTTGACGCCTCCGACATGCTCGATCTCGAAGATATCGATGAAATCTTCGCCCTTGATGAGTCGACGCGAATGACTGATGAAGATATTCGACAGGCTCGCGAGGCTGAGTTACGAGCAGAGTCCTCTCATGGAGGAGGCGTCGACTACTGGGAGTATGATCCATCTGCGCATAAGTGGACGTATCACGTCGTTGTTCCAAGGAAAGCGATGGTTCATCCCAGTATCCCCCATCTTGCTGGCCCTTGGTCGGTGGGGGGGGGTTGGAAGTGCATTCGAAGGCCAGGGCTGGAAGGGGGGGAGGGGGGCTTGTAAATGCAATGCGCTGCTTCGGACGTGTTTGGCTCTGTTTGGAAAAGCTTGCCACGACTGTGCGCCCCATAGTGGGTGAGCTGCTGAACGCGCAAAGCTTTGCACAGGTTCCCCGTGAGCGGCACAGCCGTTGGTTTGGTTGTCCTCAAACTTCGGCTGCCGTTCTTGCAGAAGACCACGGCTCCGCGGTACACACACACAACACAAGGCCAAGCTAGATGGCATCTGCACAGGTCGCGCACTCCATTGACATCCCCGCAGTTTGGAAGGGTCTTGAATGGGTGGCTGCTGGCAGTCGACGTATGAGGAGTCTGGAATGGGGGCGGACCCATTTTAGACCTTTCCGGGGTTACCCATTGCAGACCCCCTACAAGAACTATGAAATGCTGAGGGGGACAAGAAACAACCCAGCGCCGAATCCCGGAAACGGAGAACCCCTATGTGGAGCTTTGCCTGCTGCGTGCGAGAGTGAGCGACGAAACCCCCAAATCCTAAACCAGGCAACCCCAAACCCAGAAACCCTGAAGCCAGAACCCAAGCCCAGAAAACCCCAAACCAGAAACCGTGAAGCCAAGAACCCTCAATCCAGAAATCCTAAACCCAGCAACACCGAACCCGGAAACCCTGAAGCCAGAAACCCCAAACCCAGAATCCCCAAATCCAGAAACCCTGGAGCCCAGAACCCCAAACCCAACAACCCCAAAACCCAGAAACCCCGAACCCAGAAACCCCAAAACCAGAGACCCCAAACCCAGAAACCCTGAATCCAAAAACCCCGAACCCCAAGCCCGACAACCGCAAATCCACAAACCCTGAAGCCAGAACCCAAGCCCAGAAAGCCCAAGACCAGAAACCGCGAAGCCAAGAACCCTAAACCCAGAAGTCCTAAACCCAGCAACACCGAACCCGGAAACCCTGAAGCCAGAATCCCCAAATCCAGAAACCCTGGAGCCAAGAACCCCAAACCCAACAACCCCAACCCAGAAACCCCGAACCCAGAAACCGCAGAACCAGAAACCCCGAACCCACAAGTCCTAAGCCCGGCAGCCGCAAACCCAGAAACCCTGAAGCTCTCCCCCCCCCCACCCCGGAGACATGGGGGATATCCCAGTAAGACTCCCGGTTCCATAGGAGAGTCGCCTGATCCATGGAAGCTGAGCACGGTGCGTTTATCGCATGTTCAATACAAGGACAAAAGCCCGGTTACGATCTATGAGACCGGGTATGCCTTCGGCAAGACAAGACTCATGCAGCTCTGGACCGGCACTGTTGAGTTCTATGATGACGGCTTTGCCCCACCCAAGAAGAAGTTACCTCCTTATCATGGGTCAGAGATCCTGGAGGGCGAGGGGGGTTTGCCTTATCGTCAGAGTGTGCCGCGTTCCGAGCGGACATATAAAGGGTCTCGAAAACCGAACTCTATCGACTCAGAATCCTGGCGCAGCATGAATCGCGCCGAACGGGAGGGATATGTCGAGGCTGAGCGCCGAGAAGCTGAGTCTCATGCCATGTCCCGAGAGGATTCTCGCGATGCCGCTCCTGTCGACATCGCTTACGATTCAGAATATGAGTCGGGTGCCGAACGGCATGACAAGGATTACTGGTATCACGATGTCGCAGCTGGCACGATCACCCGATTTCATGTGATCGAACGCCGAGCGCGCTTTAATCCTACTTCCGTCAAAGATTGCCCTGTCGATCCTGCAACATTGACCGATGTCAGGATGACTATGGCCATGACTGACGGCACCGAGTTTACATTGCAAGACTCATGGAGATCATCCGATGCTCGATCTCTGCCGTGCCGATGGACGGGAAAGACAGTCTTCGTTATTGGTTCCTCCGCCAAAACGCAGATTAAAGTTCGAACCCGTATGCCGAACACAGATGACACAGGGCGCCGCGTGCAGACTGCGAATGGCTATTATGGACACGCACTGCGTGCAAAGGGCCGTACTGTCGTACCTGCCAAGTCTCGCGCCTGTGTTGTTACGGATCTTGAGTTCGAGCCCCCGGGTGGTATGTCAGCCCGTCTTCAGCCGCTCCGCGGTAGTGGCCTCGATGTTTGTCCGGCCATGTACACGTACAATGAAGGGGCAACTCAGTCCGGTGTTGACGTCCTTAATCCTACCGACTCCGATATTATAGTCGAGCCCGGACAGGACGTTGCAGTGGTTCAATTCTACACTTCCGTTTTGGCCGCGGTTGAACTCGACTTCACCGCAGAAGATGTGGATGGTGACGTTTCTGCACCGGTTGAACCATCCGATGACGGTCCTGCTGTTGGTACTGCACCTGCAATGCCTGTTCGCCCTGATCTTCATTCACACCGATCTCCCGATTCATCGGTATTCTTCTATAGTGCGTGTGTCGCACGGCCCGTTGATCGAAAAGAGCGTGCCGCTAATCCCAAGGCGAAAGCCGCCCTTGACAAAGAGTGGAATAAGCTCATCAACCAAGGATGTTGGGGCTACGCATCCGTGCGTGAGTGGCGCGATGTGTCCAACGAGGCTATGGCTAAAGGGGAAACGGCCCACGTTGGCCGTATCTTCGATATATGCGTTGAGAAGAATTCCGAGCTTCCGGAGTCCGATCCTAACCGTAAATTTAAGGGTCGAGTTGTGTTTGAAGGTTGCCATGTCAAAGATGAAGGCAATAATTGGGCTATTTTCTCCGAGATCACCTCTTGCCCCGCGACCATGGAAGCTGGAAAGGCCGCCGATGCTTTCGGTCTTCTTCCTGGTCATGAAATACAGGTTGCCGATGGCGAATCTGCCTACACCCAGGCTAAGCTTGGTGGCCCGGCGACGTGGGTCCGATTGCCCAAGGATCGTTGGTTGCCCGAATGGCATGGCAAATATCATGATCCGGTTGTACGCCTTGTGTTGGCCCTTTATGGGCATCCGGATGCCGGTGGCTTCTGGGAACAGCACTGTGAGAAGGCTCTTCGATCGGTTGGATTCGAGCAATGTCCCGACTGGAAGAGTGTGTTTCGTCATCCCAAACTTAATCTTATGCTCGTGGTCTACGTCGATGATTTTAAACTCAGTGGACCAAAGGCCAATCTGGCCAAAGGGTGGGAGCTCATGGCATCGAAGATTAAATTGGAGCCGCCCTCGAGCATCAAACGTTACTTGGGATGCGAGCATGTTACCTTCTCCCACGTTGTTCCTAGTGCCTTTGATCCGCGCTCCTACTGGACGCGCTTCGAGGAGCCCAAGAAGGCGTTTCCCGAGCTGACATTTGGCGATCAAGACACCAGTGTCGCGCAGGGCTCTGTTGGTCCTCGCGAAATTCGAATGATCAAATACGATATGCGATCGTTCATGGAACAATGTGTTTCTCGCTATGTTGAGCTCTGTGGCCCTAAGTATAAAGCCACCTTGCGGTCGGCTGACACGCCGTTCCTCGATGAATCGCGACCGGAATTCGATACCAATCCGGATCGACCTGCTGTGAACCGCTTATTGGGCCATCCCGTTGACACGCCTGTGCCTCCTGGTAAAGGCGTTCTCGGCGACTGTGCAGCCGCCGTTCTGATGAAAATCCTATATGGTGCTCGCATGGGGCGGTACGATCTGATGCGTCCTGTGCAGGCACTTGCCAGTCTCATCACCAAGTGGGATGGCTTGTGTGATAAGAAACTCCATCGATTGGTGTGCTATATCAACTCTACCCTCGATCTCAATTTGTATGGGTGGATTGGTGATGCACCCGAGATGCTGGAGCTTGTGCTCTACTGCGATGCCGATCTTGCGGGTGACGGCACTGATTCCAAGAGCACCTCTGGTGTCTTTATGTGTCTTCTTGGGCCGCGTAGCTTTATGCCTCTTAATGCTTTGTCCAAGAAGCAAACTTCTGTGTCGAAGTCTACCCCCGAGGCCGAAATTGTCTCTCTTGACCACGCTGTGTATAAGTTGGGCCTGCCTGCTCTGTCTATGTGGGAGTATATGTTGGGCCGCCGTTTCCGATTGCGGGTCATGGAAGACAATGAGGCCGCTATTCGAGTCGTTATCACTGGTCACAACCCAAACATGCGTCACATGTCTCGTACCCAGCGTATCGATATCTCTGCGCTGAACGAGCGCTATCACGCTGGGGATTTTCTGTTCGTGACGTGTCCCTCTCAGTTCGAGGCTGGTGATATTCTGACAAAGGCCTGCACTGATGCCAAGGTGTGGGGCCGCAACCTTATGTCTATTGGTCATTTTCGTAAGGGTACTCTTATTTCCTCCGGTATGCTGTCTGCCGCTCCCGCTCTCCCTGCTCTCCCCTCTGTCTGTCCAACCAGGGGGGTACATCTTGAAACCGGTCACAGCCCCTTCAACGATTTCATCCTCGACATGTCTCGTCAGGGGGGTATTTCAATTGATGATGCTCACCAATTCGGAGCAGCAGTAAAATGTATTCATATCGGAGGCGAAGGCATAATCCGATTCCCTCATGCTCGAAGTATCAATCTCAGTCTCGATGATAATGCAAAGGGGATTGCAATTTCGAACATCAGGGTTCCGCCTACGCCTGCGGTATGTATTGTCACTGTTCCGATTGCTGGCACCGCTAACAAAAGAGAAGCTGGTTTCAAGAACAGGGGTTGGAAAGAAATGAGGGGCGACCTAAAGGAAAAAGGATGGGAAGCCAAGAAATTACTTGGATATGCTTCCGCTGCCCGCTCATCCGGAATTCCTGTATTCCTTGTGCTACCGAAGGGAAACCCGTTGTGGGGTAGGGAGTACATAAGGCGATGGTCTGAATCGCACGAGCTTTGCCCAGTTAAACTATGTTCGTGCTCCTCTGGTCGATGTTCCCAGCATGCGTGGATGTGTGAGATTTTCATGCCTGCCCGGTTTGGGCCCATCTTCATGTCACGATTTGCATGCAATCACAAGAAGGCCAAAAGGGCCGACCCGAAAGAGCTTCGACTTGCATTGTGGACTGTGCTTGAACATTTCATGAACTCTGCGGTTTTTGGCTCACAGCAATCCGCGTTGCCGATTGCTTAAACAAAGACGCCAAGGCCATGTTCACACACATACACACACTTGCACACTCACACTTGACTACAGCTTGGTAAGGAGCTCTAAGGGCGACGATCACAGATCACCTTCATCAACCGACCATCACAGACCACCTCTACTACGACTCAGTCCATAGCCCACTTGCGCTCCCTGCTAGGACAGGTTGTAGCTGCCACGGGCTGCCAACTTTCCCGCACTGCCGCCGCTGCTGAACGATGGGAGGAAAGAACAAGCAGCCGCCGAAGAAGGCTGCTGCCAAGACACCGGCTGCCCGATCACCTCAGCCGAAGTCTCCCTCGCCATGCGGGGAAGGCCTTCCGAGCGGTCCGATTGCGCCGACTACGGAAAGGCCTCCTGCTCCGCCGATTCCCACGGAGCAGGCTGATTCTGATATGGGCACCGATGAAGCCCCAGTCCCGATTCAGACTCCGAGAGATGAGTCTACCGGGGGTGGAAAGCGCTCCGAGGACGTTCCGATAGGATTGAGGATGAAGGCAATGATTCTGAAAATCGGGATCCAAGAGATCCCACAGGCCTCAATCTGGCAGCGCCTCGAACAGCTGACATGCAACCCTGGTTACGATCAAAAGCTGCACCAGCTGGTTGACTCCTTCCTCCTCACTACTCATCCGCTCGCGGATAAGCAGAGGAAGCAGTACCCCCGAGAGATTATGGACTTCATCGACCGTTACAGGGTGATGTGCGCTCTTGCATTTTCCCGAGTGGCGACGTTGTCTGGCGATGCCGCAGGGGTCCGCGAGAAAATGGACCTTACGATGGCGCTGGCTCGCCACTGTATGCACTTTCAAGCGCAGAGCTTTAAGGGATCTCGAGAGACGCTGAGCAACGATACGCTCCGTCTCATGGGAACGTGTTATATCCCGTCGCCTCTTGCGAGCTGGAACCGAAATCTCATGGGATACAGCAGTTCGACTGCGGAGCAGCGATGGTTGAGGACCGATACGAGTATCAAACACAGCGACCTCACCAAGCTGTCGCCCATTGAGTTGTCAAGGGATGCGGTCAGCCAGGTTGAAGCTGTGAAGTTCTTCAAGGGATTTCTGCAGCTCAGGCCGACGCTTTCTTTCATCCCTGGAGCGTTTCTGGCACTCAAGGCTCTTAACCGATTCCCCACGCTGGACTCTTTGAAAGAGCAAGCGACTCACCTCGAGAACGATCGCAAGGAACACGGCTACGATCTTCCTGCCGTGGATGCGAACGGGATCGGGGAAGTGGCCGCCTTTCGCAACGAAGACGACGATGAAAATAACCCGTTGATGCGCGGGTGGGTCTCGTTCATGAAAGCGATGGCTGAGACCTACCCCGGGCGATGCGTTAGCATCGATGATACGCTCAACTGGGGAGCCAGCACCCCTATGACCTATGAGGACGGTGCGGCGCAGACCACCATCCGCCCGACCGACGGATGGGTGTATGTCCCCGCGATGAATTCGGGCATATACGATCCTCAGGAAACGTTCCTTCACGGAACGAATCTCCGATACCTCTGGTCGATTCTTGCACACGGAGGTCTGTTCGGGGAGGATTACGTGACGGACGATCATGAAAGTCACGAGCCCTGCGTCTGGGTGACTGGACACGCTCCCGAGGCTGCCAGTAGCTATGCATCTGGCACGTACCTCGGCGGAGGATACTGGTTCCAAGTGATGATCTGCGTCTCCCGGACTATGGTGAACAGCCACAGTCGCACGACGAAGAAGCTGGGGGGCTCTCAGAAGCAGATCCGCGTCGGAACTCGATTTCTCGAGCTGTGCGGGATCGCGTTCAGGCCCTTCCGCCTTCTGGATGACCGCGAGCAAGGGGTCTCTACCTCCCCGCAATACGTCGTCCACGGACATGCCGATGGAACAAAAGCCGTGGCCTGGCACCCGTGGATGGAGGCGAGCCCGATCGATCCTCGCATTCTGAAGCTGCTGGGAGACAGTGTCGCTCGCGATAATGTCGAGTTCGCCGACCTCACGATTCAGGGGGGCAACGCTACCCAACAGGTTGCTTCTACCGAAACAGAACAATCTGGAACGACCGCGGCTGATGATCAGGCTGCGGCGGGGGGCAGTGAGGCAACGGAGCGAGTCACCGTCCACTCAGCAGTGCTTCGCCGCAATCACTGGATGCCCGACACTTACCGGACCAGTGAGCAAGCCACTATCGGTGGCAGGTATGCCTTGCTATCCGAGCTTCAGTCCTCCAGCTACCGAATCGAGCTCGCTCCATTCTTCCAGCTTCGAGCACCCATCCTGGGAGAGGAAGGGAGCCAAGGTTTGCCAAAGCCTGCAAAGCTCGAGACAATTGCCGGAGGACCCTCCAAAGAATGGGAGGCATGGTGCAGGCACTACCGAAAGGCGTACGGTGTCATGCTCGGCAATTTCGGCTACACGCCCGCCAAGAACATCAAGGGTATCCCATACGATGAAGAAGGTACAACGGATATCATTGGCGCGCCTGTTTGGAGCCCAGCCGATGCTCTTGTGGCTGTCTCGATCCACGGGATCAGAACGGTTACGACCATGGCCTCCACGATTGCATTTGGGGGTGCTCCGCCAACGATCAAGCCGGCGGTACCCAGCAAGCCGCAGAGATTTATTGTCATGCACGATGGCCTGCTGTCCTTCAGGTCTGCCAAATCCTGGCACGATGGCCAGATGAATGCCCATCTGAAAAGCGCGCTGGCAAGCTTTGGATTCCCTGAATCCGAGGTGCGCGTGCAGGCGTTTGATGAGGGCTACAAGCTCAAGGATATGGTCGACACGCTCGCGATGATGCAGAGCGAGACCTCCATCCCGCCATCGAATGTGCACATCCTCATCCTTTGGAGAGGAGAAGATTTGTGGAAGATGGACCAGGGCTGGAATAAGCTGACTGGTGACATCGATGTGGCACGATCACAATATGCCAAATCGACCGCCCGGGATGCTCTCGAGAAGTATAATACGATCTACGGATCGGTGTCCCTTTGCGGACCGGTGTCACCGAGCATGGGACATCTTCCGACTCTTCCTGGCCCTCTCTTCGAGAAATACAGAGAGGAGATGAGATCGATCTGGGACGTGATCAGGAGGTCCAACTTCCTCACCGTGTCGTTTGACGCTATCCTGGAAGGCCTGCCGTACCTGAAGGGATATCACATCATGCATGAGTCCAAGACGATTGGGGTCCTGTGTACTCGTATTTGCTCGATGTTCACACTTGCGGCTCTCGCACGGTTTCCGTCTTACGGAACCCGCCGGGAGTATCAGATCGCTGCCGATAAAATGTGGACACGCACTCCAGTCCCGGAAGAAAAGTCAACGGGCACGGTGAAGGCCATTGTGCACTCCACAGTGCAGGACCTTATCGATGGGGCAGATCGCGGCGCCGATCATCAAGCCGCAAAGACCGTCGATATGAGTCAGCTTGGCTTCGATGACGACGACGATGACGATATGCCTGACGACGTAGGTCCGACAGCTCCCGGGAATCCGATCAAACAGGAACGGGGAACCTTGGCGGATCTACCGTTATGAGATTATTAGGGCCACACAAGGGGGTTTCCAAAATAATTATTTTTGCACATTTATTGCATATTTTTTGTGCGTCGCGTTTGCGTATTTTTTGCATGTGTTTTTTCGTTTGCAAATATTTTGCAAATATTTTGCATATTTTTTGTGTTTTTTTTGCATGTGTAATTTTGGCTGTTTAAATGCAAAACAGCCACAAAAATATGCAATACACACTGCGTTTTGCATATTTTTTGCGTTTTTTTTGCATGTGTAATTTTGGGTGTTTAAACGCAGGTGTTGCAAGGCTGCTGCCAGGGCCCAGGGCCCAGGCACGCCAAAAATATGCAAAAAATGTGCAAAACACACTGTGTTTTGCATATTTTAGGGGTGCCGGGCCCACCGGCTGGGCCAGGGCACGGCCCGTAAAATATGCAAAACACAGTGTGTTTTGCACATTTTTTGCGTATTTTTGGCGTGCCGGGCCCACCGGCTGGGCCAGGCACGGCCCGTAAAATATGCAAACAGTGTGTTTTGCACATTTTTTGCGTATTTTTGGCGTGCCGGGCAGGTCCTGCCAAGGCCCCAGCACCCAAAGGCCCCAAGGCCCAAAGGCACCAAGGTTCAGAACCGTGTGATGCAAAAATGCAAAAAATATGCAAAAAATATGCAAAAAATATGGAATAAATTTGTAAAAGATTTGCAACACAAAAAAAACATGCAAAATATATGCAAACCCGACGTGCAAAAAATATGCAATCAATTTGCAAAATATCCGCAAAATAATTATTTTCAGTTTCATAGGCTGTAGCCTGCTAATAATCTCATAAATCTACCGGGTGTTCGTCATCCGGATCCGATTGAGTTGCCAGCTACTCCTGTGCCTGGCGAGGCAATGCCAGTGTCGCCCGGCCTTGCTCCGGCTGCTACGAACGATGAAGAATCTAGCAGCAGTTCCGATGATGACGAACAGCAAGGGGATGGCGATGCGGCGATGCCCGAAGTCAAGAAGGAGGAGTCCGATGAGGAGTTCAATGGGCTTCTCGAAGGAATGACTGAGGCATTCGGGAAAATGCCTACTCCCCGGGATGCCGAGCGAACTGTCGCAGCCAATCGGGACGCTGCACGACCGCCTGCCGTGCCGTCGATCCCTCTCTCTACGATGAAGAAGCCAAAGCCGATTGGTGGCGAGGAAGCCGCGGGGCCCACCACCGAGAATCGCCAAGGTTATGCGCACTTCGAAAGCCAAGTCAGTGAAGCTGAGGCTCGCCGTGAACAGGCTGCGAAGATGAAGGCGCATATCGCTGAAGTGGCAAAGGGCGCCACCGGTGTTGAGAATGCCGAACACCTTCGATCCATTGCCAATGGGCTAGCCAAGATCTTGGACCCGAACATGAGTGATGACAATGTGTTCCAGGGTGCCATGTATCCTCCGGGTGACTATGCGCTTGACGCTGTCACGAACCGGCTGGCCCAAGGCAGGCGTCGGGTCGAATCGAACAGCAATCTCATCAGGGAGATGGCCAGCGACCGATTTACGCCTGTGCTCATCAACCGAGATACTGGTGAGACTGTGTCTGCCATCGATGCACGATGGACCCCGGAGTATGGAAACAGGGGGGAGCTTGAAGCTAAGGTTGGTGCGATTATTTCCAACCTGGATGCAGTGGTTCCAAGCATGTCAACCCTCCCCGTGTTCCATCCGCACATTCCCTCGACGTACGGTATGGCTCGATCGCTTCTCAACACATACCAGTCGTTGCAGAGTGCCATCCGACACCGTGGCATGGGTGCGATGTCTTTCGAACAGATGGTGTTCAAACCAGAGGACCTTGAGGTTCCGACTCCCGATGATTGGCCGGACCTCATTGCGCCTACCCCCGGAAAAGTCATTCAGTCCATGCGGGTGGCCCTGGTGAATAACACAGCGGCGAGGTTGACGAGAGAGGACCTCAAGCTGCCACCGGGCTTCGCCATGCAGCGACGAGTGACTGAATTCCGCAAGCCGGAAGAAGACCCGGTGCAGAGCCTGATGGGGCTCACTGATGACCTGAGCTACGGCACTACCGGCCGAACTGGGGATGACAGATTGTCCCAGTTCCAGCGCTGTGTTGCGGTACAGCTGCGGAACACTGCAGGATTCATTGCGAGTGAGTTCCAGAAGCATGCCCGATCTATTACCGCTTCCTCCTCGCGTCGCAGTGATGCCTCAGGCGCCCTGAGTAGTCAGGGTGAAGGCGCGGCGGACAACGATCTTCCGTCCACCGAGCAGGCCAGTGCCGCATCTGAGCGTGCGGCGACGCCGCCTCCGCCAAACGTGGCTCCTCCTCCTCCGCCTACAGCGGCCCCAAAACCTTGTTCCAGCGAGCAAGGCCCGTCACGGCCCCATAAAGCCCTCTGAAATACCCTTGCAGACCGCTTCTGCTGAAACCCTGACCCTGGACCCTTGAAGCCTCCAAAAACCCAAACCCAAAACATGACATGAAGCCCCGAAACCACAAACCCTAAACCCTAACCCCAAACCCTACACCCTAAACCCTGCACCCTAAAACTCGAAGCCTCTAAACCCTAAACCCACCTAAACCCCAAACCCTTAGGCCTTAAACCCTTAACCCCGAAAAACCCGATGCTCCTGAACCCCTACTCAAAGGATGATGGGGCTGAGTAACTAGGGTTATAATTAGGGTAACTCTACTTATAACTACTTGTAACCCCAATTAAGATACTTATAGCCTTACTTACTAAGTCCCAATGATCCTCCAAGTAGACCCTAAACCCTAAACCCTATAGATCCCTTTAAGGAACCCTACAGACCCCTTTAAAGAGCCCTTTAAGGACCCTTGCTAAGTCCCAAGATCCTCCAAGTAGCCCTGCTAAGCTCAGGACACGAGTAGTCCGGTAAGCCGTCGTTCTGGTCGGAGACCCTCGGAGCCGCGAGCTCTCTGAGACCCCATGAAACCCTACGTGGAGGTTCATGGGTAGGAATGAAGTGTCAGGGGGGCAATCTTGAATCGACGTGATTCTGTGTGTGCGCGTAAGTTTGACTGAGAGGTCCGAAGCTCCTCTTCGTATATGAACCTCAATAGTTTTTAATGTGTATATATATATATGTAATACTAGATAACATATATTCAATATCATACTCAGCCTCACAAAATCGTGACCGGTCTGGCTGCACTACTAAAGCCACCCCTAACGAAGAGCGATCGCGAATCAACACTTTCTGCATGTCCTCGTGTAACGATTTGGCTGTGAATTTCGTCTGAGAATCCGGACAATACCTTTTTACCCAGACTCGCCCACAAGAAGTGGTTTAGGGTTCAGGGTCTAGGGTTTAGGGTTTTTTGGCGGCATGTCGGCCTCCGCAGAAAGCCGATTGGCACATCCCAGCCCTAAATCAAGAGGAAAACAGGAAAACCGACACGAAATCGAGCCTTCAACCACGAACCCCAAACCCTGAACCCTGGACCCGGTACGGCTGATCCTACTTAAAGGATCATGGGAGTAACTGGGGTTATAATTAGGGTAGCTCTACTTATAATTACTTATAACCCCTATTAAGGTACTTGTAACCTTACGTACTAAGTCCCATGATCCTCCAAGTATATTTATGCCTATACCCCCTTATACCCCCAGACTCGTGCCATTGCACACCCTAAACCATTAAGGGCCCCTTAAAGGAACCCTAAAGATCCCTTTAAAGGAACCCTAAGAGCCCTAAATTAAGGGTCCCTCCTTTCCCATTTGAACCAGGGGCTCCCTCGTCGGGGTGGAGGGCTGGGGCAACGAGAGGACCGGAGTTGATCTCGGGATGACAGAAAATTTGAGACGCGGAAGGGATTTAGGGGTTTAGGGTTTTAGGGTAGAGGCGCTGCAGACCGGATGCAAAAAAAAGGGTTTTAGGGTTTTAGGGTTAAGGGTTTTAGGGTTTAGGGTTAAGAGGTTTAGGGTTTAGGGTGTTGAAACATGTGGGGTTTAGGTTAGGGTTTAGGGCTTAGGGTGTCGAGGTTTGGGGAGTTTTGATTCGTGCTGAGTAGACGTATGCATTTAGGGGCATGAGGCGAACAATTGATGTTTCTACCATTCTTGGCTTTTGCTTTTCCCGCAACCCTGAAACCTTATAGCACCCGAAATCCCAAACCCTAACCCTGATCCCTAAACCCATTAAATCCTGCAGATGCTACATGGGAGTTTCCGAAAATGGGGGGGGGGGTAATTACCTTATTTTGGGTCCCTTAAAGTAAGGATCCTACTATTTAGGGTACTGTATTAGGGTCCCCTATTTGTGGAAACTCCACGGGTTTTCGAGTTCGTCAGCCTGCGTCGTTCAATCTTGTTGGATGAGCGTTGATAGGTTTATTAAGTTACAAGGTTTTAGGGTTTTCGGGGTCAGGGGTTTATAGGGTTTGTGGTTTATAGGGTTTACTGGGTTTACAAGGTTTATATGGTTATTATGGGGTTTATAGGGTTATATGGTTCAAGGTAGAGGGTTTTGGCTTTACGACTTAGGGGTTCAGGTTTAGGCGCTGGCGGTTAGGGATCCAGGCTTCAGACCTCAAAGCTTAGGGTCCAAGTAAACTTGGAGATTCATGGGGAGTTGTAAGGGTTCCTTGAAGGGCCCCTTTAAAGGGATTCATAGGGATTCTATAAGGGTATGTAGGATAACCAGGGTTATAACCCCCTATTGGGGAGACTTATAACACCACTTATAATAGCTACCCATGAACCTCCAAGCAGGCCCTAAGCCCTATACCCATACAGCATCCCTATGGATCCCTTTAAAGGGACCCTGGCAGCACCGTTATAACTACCCATGAACCTCCAAGTAGACCCAGACCCCGCAAGCTTTTTACTCCTCATAATAACATCCAGGCTGTTCAGTGGTACACTTTTTTGCTTTCAGGTTTCTGGGTTCCTAATACAAAACAAGAAGCCTAGAAAAGCATACACTTTTTCCCGGTGGCTTGCTGAACAGCCTAGACCTCGAAAGCCCAGGCTTGATCAAGGACCTTTGGCTCGGATCGCAGCCTCAGCCTTAAAACTCTGGAGTCTAGAGTCTAGGGTTCAGGGTTTAGGGTGTCACAGGGTTTAGGGTCTAGGGTTTAGGGTCTAGGATTTAGGGTCTAGGGTCTAGGGTTTCAGGGTTTAGGGTTTAGAGTCTAGAGCATGATGCCCTCCTGATGAAATCTTGAGGCCCGCGCCCCCCCAAAAGTGAGACGGCAGGCAGTTCAACTCGGACCCGGTCTGGAACAACATGTGCGCCGCACTGGTTGAGATGTCTTGCCGGTGGGGTGCAGGGTTTAGGGTTGAGGGTGTGGGGTTTAGGGATGCAAAGCAGAAGTACCAGCACCAGCAGACGACGACAGTAACAGTATCAACGGTAGACCAACATGTACATCAGTAGCGGCAGTACACCAATCAGCAGTGGCCTCCTACTCCTCCTCCTCCTCCTCCTCCTCCTCCTCCCAGACCTGCTCCCCCTCATGTGCCGCCGCTGCTTCCTCTTCGTCATTCTGGTTACTGCTTCTCCTTCTGGTTCAGGTGCCACCCTGAAAAGCAGAATCTTACAGTTCATGCTTTTGGGCTTTCGGTTTCGCGGCTTGAGGTGCTTTTTTAAGATTTAAGACTTAAGGTTTTTGTGGCCTTGAGGTTTCATGGTTTTGTGGTGTAGGGTTATGTTCTACTACACCCCCTGCCACTTCACATCTCGCACGAAGCCGCAGTTCCGCTTCGGGTTCGAGGTTCAGGGTTCAGGGTGTCGGACCTAGGGTCCGTTGGGATGAGTCGAGGGTTCAACTTTGGACTGTATTTAGTGTTTACGGTTGATGATATAAACCCTGCATCACCCATAATAAGGAATATACTATAATTCCCATAGTTTCGGGTCCTTAAGGTAATGCAGATTTATATCATCAACCGTTACCGTAGACTGGCAGTCTCCTCACTCTGAACCGTAAACCCTAAACCTTGAAGCTACTTTCAGGAATACATGCAGAACCTAGCCGAAACCCCGAACCCCTAAACCCCTAAACCAGCCCTAATCCCCTAGCCTTAGACCTTGAAACCCGTAAAGCATCGTAAAACCCTACGCCCTAAACCGCAGCAGCGATAGCTCCGAACAGGTACCTGCGCTTGCAGATGCCTATGACCATGCGCGCTTTCTCAGGCCTGTCTAGTTTCTCCGGAGTTTAGGGTATAGGGTTTAAGTTCTTATTGAGGAGGCAAGGGGTGGCTGCAGCGGTGGTTTATGATTTCGTAGAGGCCTGCATGCTGTTCTCAGGAAAACACGAGATCATTAGTAGTACGAACAGGGATGGTAGGCATGCTAACGAGAAGGCTGCTCCTTGTCATGACCATACTGCGTAGAAAGTCACAGGTTAGTTTTTATGTAGCGGAAGGCCGCGCTTAATGAACACGACTTGGTTGGGTTCACGCCATCAATTCATCCCTTTTCGCGATGTTTGGGCTGAGCCTTAAGGGACACCTATACTCATCCGGGTATCAAACCTATGTGATGCTTGTGATTTACGTGGTTTTGGGACTCTGTAAACCCTAAATCCTACATCCTCAGGCCCTGAACCTTGAATCCACCAAAACGGGGAACTGAACTCCTCAACTCCAAAGCCCAATCCCTAAACACCCTAAATCCCCTGAGTTCTGATACCCCAAGGTCTCAACCAATGAAGCTTACAGGTAACTCAATATAACTTAGATTCCTTATACTTCATAGGGACCCTTGGGGGGGTAGGGGGGTAGGGGGGAGGGGGCGGGAGGGGGCCTTAATGCCTTTTGTAGGGTTTATTTTGGGAAGTATAGTCCCCTGCCCCCCTCCCCCTTCCCCTCTTAGGGTCTCTATGATTACTCCAGACTAGACTCCTTGATCGAACTTAGTTGTTCTTCTACTCCACGTCCCTTGATTTCAATTCAGATTGTGGAATACAGGTCAGGTTGCTTAATGTAGTTTAGCTTCCTTGCTAATCCAGCTTCCTGGGGTAAGTTCGATTCCTTGGGAACGGCCCCCACTCAGTAATAGTTGCATAATATTCATAATATAGATATATTAGGACTTTAATAGTAGCCCTATTATGGACTCTTTCTGTACCGGGGCAGTACCTAATTGATTCCTTAGGAGCGCGGACTGTTTACCATAGCGCAGGGCGCTAGCATAGTATGTCCCCCATGCCAGACTCCTAAACGTGATGGAATGTTGCTTATTAGCAGAAGCCCCACCACTTGAAGCTACACCCTCCACAAGGGGGCCCTGAGCATGAGCTCTGGCGCAGCACCGCTTCCTTTGAGATCAAGATGCCTCCAGGTCGGGTTTAAGGGTTTTACGGGTTTTGA